ATCAAATTATTCAGTCAAGAGTGAGTTAGGAGAGTTGGTGATCTCTTGGACAAATCACCTAAGGTGCCAAGATAGGTTCCTCACGAGCAGGAAGGAACAAGGGAAAACAGGAGGTTTTTCCCGTGGACCGACCCGTGATGAGATCCTATTCCCGGGCCCTCAACAGAGTGGTGCTTTTTTTCGGTAAAATGAAAACAGTGGTGGTTGATATAAAATGATTATAGATTGGGAGCTGGTATTGCCGGATTTTGCTCATGTTTCCAGAACAGAATTTGGTGAGAGTTTTTTAGATCTATTAGAAATGCCAAATACTGTTCCATTATGTATCTATAATTTCTTGTACCAAGGTGTTTACTTAACACCTTTCTATCTGTGTACTTGTCTTCTATTTTATTAAATTTTACTTTCATATAAAAAATTGCTCGGTTTAATGGTATTATCTGGAGCTGACGTGTGGGAACGCAAGTTGAGTCTGAGGGTGGCCACTTTGTGAAAAAAAAAATGTCAAAAGGATAGGTTCACACATACCCCACCCCTCCCAAGACCCTAGATAGCTGGGACCAACATTGGGTTATGGCCTTTTTTTTATCATGCATTGTCCCGCTACTTCGCACCAGTTATCATGTGGTCAATAACTAGGGCTAAAAAGTGATGTTTAGAGTGAAGTTGCGAACATTGATTTAGAAGTTCTAATAAACTCAGACAGCCATCCAATGGTGCAACACTACTAAATTGCTAGTAAGCCGGATGGCAAGTAACCTCTTTTATCAGTTATGGCAATTGTAGCAAGCCACATGGGGTTTTAATATAGGTTTTAATCAGTCGTGCCCCCTGGGTAAAAGACTAACACTTCCACTTTTTTTGCTCTCCCACAAGTAGAGGGAGGCTGTGTAACTAAAACATGTTTGTAGCGTTTGCATTGTTCAGACCAGAATGTTAAAGGTTCATTTATTATTGCGTTGATACAGTGTTGGTGCCTGTTTTCTTCTCTTGCTGGAGAAATGCTATTGTTTCTCACTGAAATTTACTAGGGTGAACTGTGTTTTAGATGCAGCTTTCTTTTCTATCAATTCTGTGATAGTTATTGGGATTTTACATTCGCTGCACGCATGCACTAGTCTGTCTGCTTGGTCAAAGAGAAACAGCTTTAACACAAATTTGTTTTCTTTTTTGAGTAACTGGATTTATTAAAAGCAAGAGGACTACATGAGATAATTTACAACTAGAAGAAAAACAACTTAGGAAAACACACGCAGGATTCTGTCACTATACATATCTTCCCTGTGTGAACCGGATTTTGCCAATTGATCAGCTAGAGAGTTTTTCCCTAGGAATCCAATTAAGGTTGATACGCAAAGAACCCAAGATGTCTCTGTTCTCTGGCAGATATTGTATATCATAGGGAAAACATAGCCTTAACACAAGCTTATTATGGTTTACAAGTTCATCTTACTCCTGTTAGTGATGATATTGTATATCAAATAGGACGCCCTTGCCATCTCGGTTAAGGCTTTTGAAAATAATAATTTTTCTTTCTATAAGCACCTTCATGTAAGGCCAAATGTTTCTGAACTACTTTTATATCAGGATGCTGCATGCCTTCTATTTTGGTTGTCGATTAACCTCACACTGACCTTCTTGGGCAATGTAATGTGATTGTTAACTGACATTACTCTGCTGACAATGAAGAGGATTGATGTGCATGCACCGGATGAAAATAGTCCACCGTGATCTGAAAAGTGCTAATTGCCTAGTGAACAAGCACTGGACTGTTAAGATATGTGATTTTGGCCTTTCACGAGTAATGACGGAGAGTCCCATGAGAGATTCTGCATCTGCTGGAACTCCAGAATGGATGGCTCCTGAACTCATCCGCAATGAACCCTTCACAGAGAAATGTGATGTTTTCAGTCTTGGGGTGATAATGTGGGAACTCTGCACTCTAAGTAGACCATGGGAAGGTGTACCAGCAGTCCAAGTAAGTTTTCCGTGGTTTATTTTGTATCTGATGTTTGTGAATGGGATACAGGATCCCTCAATCTTGGCTTATCTGTACCGTTCAGGTAGTTCATGCAATTGCTAATGAAGGGTCGCGGCTAGAAATTCCTGAAGGTCCCCTTGGCAAGCTCATTGCAGGTCTTTGTTAGATTAGAACTCTGATGTCAGATTTTTCTTTTGTAACAATTGTATAGAATCTCATGCCTGTGGAAACTTGACTGCAGATTGTTGGGCAGAACCAGATGAACGGCCAAGCTGTGAGGAGATTCTCTCCCGCTTGCTCGACTGCGAGTACACACTCTGCTGATTCAATTTGCACTGTATAGAAAAAGAGAGTAGAGGTGTTGACATTGTTGTGAGCTTAAGTTGTAAATTAGCCTGTTTTCCTTATATTGTTTCAAAAACAAATAATTGACCATCGTAGAGTTTCACACCATTTTCTCCATCTCTCCGAGAGTATGTTGAATCTTGAATGCCAATCAACCGAGAAAATGTCAAGCTTGAATACATGTCAAAGTAATAACTGGAAATTATCCCCCTTGTCTGTAACTTGAGGATGAGGGTTTCAGTTCACCGGATTGTTAATTATCTTCCTAAGAAAAGTTATTTCAAAGCCTAGAACCTTTTGGCAATCTTTATACACACTGCCTTGCACAACAAAAGCAAAGCAAAATTTCCAGCTTTCTCAATCACCGATTTGGCGCTTATTCAGTGCCTGCTCAAATCGGCTGCACGAATCTACCCTCATCTCTGTGCTCATATCGTTTTCTGGTGCTGGATAGTAGTCTTCTCTCAGCTGCACATCCCTAAGGTTTGGTATTCCCAGAAAAAACATCATGAAGTGTTCGTAAGCAGTCCCATGGATAAACAGCTTCCTTAACCTGGTACATTGCGCAAGCAAGCCAGCAGCAGGGAGAGAGAGGCTCCTCTGGTTAACATCCCTGTCCTGTGGTGGCCAGTAGTCGAGCTCAGTTAACTTCAGATTCTCAATTCCCATCAGGTAAACCCTCTCCCACAAGCTCAGATCCATGTGTCCGGTTGGAGCTGTTAATGCATAACCTATTGCATCTCCACAGTCTAGCTGCATCTTTGAAAGCCTGGGATACCGTGCAAGGGAGCTCAATCCAAATGGTTGTTCTGTTGGTTTTGGCCCCATCCTGCAGTCGCCTTCCACCCTAATCCTGATCTCCTCCAGAACAGGGCAATTGTCCAATCCAGACGAAGCTAAAGGGTTCAGCAGCTCGCCAACGGCAATCCAGAGGGAGAGATATCGCAGCCGGTCCCAAGTTTTCCTCCAGAACCTGCTGCAATTAATGCCTTTGATTTGAACACGAGAGTAATCCACTTCACCGGAATATTTGCATCTTTTCTTCTTGCTACCATCATCACCCAGGAAGATCATGAATTCAGCAGGCCGATCCGATGTGCTGGCATCCTCCCTGGATTCGTTGGGTTCAAAACCATGTTGGCAGATGGCCCCGTCGCCAGTGATCTCAGACTGGTGGAGGCTGTCCCAGACACAATCAATATGCAGTCGTTGGATCCTGTCCCGGATAGGTTCCAGAGCTCGCAGTGATGAGGTAGCGTCAAGGTTCTTGCAGCAGGAGATACTTACATCCACCAGCGTCTGCCGGAGCAAGCAAGCAAATGTCCTCACCCCGGTCTCTGTGATGCTCTTGCATCCTTGAACCTCAAACCTGGCTAGCCTTTGACAGCCACGGGATATTGCTATCAAGCCAGAATCAGTCAGGTCACCGGTGTTCTTGATGGACAGAGACTCCAGCAACCTGCAGAGTGCAATGCCGTCTAGTTGTGAATCAATAGCCTTGCAGATACCATGGAACTGTCCCAACTTCAGTGATTTCAGCCCCGGGCACTTCGAATTCAGTACCTCCAATGCCGGACCAGTGTCCATGACATTGTGGCAAATGTCAAGGGTCAATTCTTCGAGCAAGGGAAGGGCAGAAAATAGGTTCTCAAGAGCTGTTCGGTTGATCATCGCGTCGTCGGAGGTGAACCCATCATGGTCCGGATCGCCACGTGCAGTGGAGAGAGAGGACGGATCAGCGAGGTGAAGGAGAGAGAGGCGGGGGCAGTGTAAAGCAACAGCGATCAAGGTTTTGTCCCCGACGAAATCATTGAACCTTGGGTGGAAGACACAGGTGGCGAGAAGGTGGGTGAGGTTGGGGCAGGCGGAGGTGATGGCGAGAAGTTGGTGGGACTTGAAACCGTCGGAGGAGAGGATGAGGAGGTTGAGGCGGGAGAGGGAAGCGGCGACGAGAGGGTGGGCCTGAAGGGCGGGAGGGAGGTCATCGGTCCAGCAGTAGAAGTGGGAGAGATCGAGAGAGGAGAGAGAAGGACAGTGGTGGAACAAATGAAGGAAATCTGATCCGGGTGGAATGTTAGCGGAGCGCGGATGCCAGCGAACGAGCTTGACGTGTCGGAGAGAGGGCCATTGAGGGGCAAGGAGGCGAAGGATGGAAGGGGTGCGGGCGTAGAGAGTGAGGGAGATGACATTAGGGAAGGCCCGGCGGAGGTAATGGGCGAGGGAGATGGGGTGAGGAGATGAGTCAAAGATGGATTGGCCCCATGGAGAAAGCAGGGAGAGGTCGAGTTGGGTGACGGCCCTGAAGCAGGTGGGGATGTCAAAGAGGTGGCGGACGTTGCCACGGAGGGTGATGGAGGTGCGGGTGGAGCGCTCCAGCACAAGCCATTTCCCACAAACCAGAGACATGGCGTTGCGAGTCCGAGTGTCGACCACCAGGGTGAAGATGATGGATAGTATGGCGTCCGGTAGGTCGTCGAAGATGGCCATTTTCAGGTGGTGGATGTGGATTCGACTCTGACTCTCTGAGAGAGAAAGACGATGAGACGCGCTCGCGCATAGGAGAGAGCCGAGAGGCCCGGGAAGAATCAGGTGAGGTGAGTCATGACTCACTGTGATTGATTGAGTGACGTGGTGGATTGAGAAGAGAAGAATGGGTTATAGAGTTGGAGAGAGAGAGATGGATGAATGAAAATGGACCAATGGTTTTGTCGCGACATGTGGTCGTGTGAATTCGTGATCCATTTGTCTTCTGTCTTTTCAATTCTCTTTTTTCTTTTCTCTCTTAATTTGTTTTATCTACTAGTAGTAGTACCATCTTCCGTTTTTATTTTATTTTTCATTGGGGCCCGGAGAATGCTAATATGCTATTCAGTAATCATATTTCTCTCGTCAGATGCTGGCATGCTGCCACTACAGCAACCATTGAATTGGAATCAATGAAGGGACTCGGGCGGGCTTCATCAATCATCACTGCTTCTGATACAATCGTAAGTTACCTTACCTTTTGAGTGCGAGTCACACACAATGACACAACAAGCAATTCTGTCTGTGTCTCTCTCCCTCACAAAGTAAATTGGTGTTAGTGACGTCCACTTAACAATAAGAGATTAGAGACTTGTCCACTTCTGCATCACCAAGTAATGGGCTTTGTTTAAACTACATTACTACACCACAGTGGACCAGTATCCGTCTGCTGTTTTGTCCATATCTGCATTCACCAAGTAATGGGCTTGTCAGATAGATGATTGACGGCCCACTGATGAACCTTCATTAGCTTAGCTTAAGTTGTTCAATCAGTCGTTCTTTACAGTCTTAAGATGTTCCTCAGTTTGTCGTTCCTCGCCCCTCAATCCTCAATCAATCTATTGCCCGTTTGGGGGTGCTTTCACACAGCGGCGTCTAGCGTTAAATGAGCTAAGCTGGGGGACCCCAAAATGCCGTGAATTCGTGATTAAAAATAAAAAATAAAATAAAATAAAACTGAAAACTAATAGCCCAAAAATAAGACTTCTAGGTAGAGCCTCTTTGAAACAGTTCAATCAACACAAAAGCCCTCTCAAACAAGACAAAGGCCAAAGCTACAACCTGACCCGGTCATTAACCCCACTAGGGAGCATAACATAACAATGAGCCGGCCATCCTGAGTTCCTGACGGTCCGACCCCGTCCCATCAAACCCTTGCATTCCATAAGGTCAAAGTATAATCAATTAAATGTGTTGATTAAACTAAACTGCATACATATCGAATTAGAAAAAGAAAAACAGAGCCTGAAAAGGAATTCTTTTGTTATCTCCCCTTTTGGGTTCTGGTTTTGGAATATATGTTGCAGCTGGACTCAATGATTAATAATTCAATCCCATTTGGGATAATGGAATAGCTTTTACTTTTGCTTTTGATGCTGTTCTGTTCCACACTGAATCAGTCAAATATGCTTTTAACAAAATTTTGGCTTCACTAAATAGTAAATGCAATGCCTGGTAGTTGGTGCACCCAGTTGATTAGTTGTGGAGCCTAACATATAAATGGTATATGATATAACATTTCGTCCTTTGATGGACCAAGGTTGGCCGTCTGATGAATTTAATTTTAATTCCATTTGGTTTTTAACCAAAGGAGGGTATCAGGGTACAAGCAGAAGACAGATCAGACAAAATGGACTGTTAGGTGGAAAATGGGGTCACTGTAACTTTGGAGGAGAAGCTCTGAGGCGTGTCTGAAGACACTGTCTTTATAACGTTATTTGCCCCTACTTAGTTTCACTAAATTTGTTGTTGGGTTACAAGCAAATTCGTTCCCATGATACAATAGAGCTTTGGGYGAGAATCTRCAACTAGCAAAGTTGAAGAATCTCCAGAGAAACCTTCTATGAGACTGTAGCGGACCGGACTGAGAAAAAGAGAGTGGATTTCGAAAATGTATTTTTGAAGTCTGATTCATGCTCCTTAAATAGTTTATAAAAAGGTAAGAGGTATAAAGAAAATGTAGGTGCTGGTTTAGAGAAGGCACCTTCAACTGTCACAATTTCAAACATTGTGACTGTTTAAAAAGTTTGAATTGTGCCTCTTGATCACACCCAAGCGAATCGTGACCGTTGATCTCATCAACGGTGATCAACGGTCAGCATCGCAACAAAACCAAAGCCGCCCTTCACGAGCCACGCAGATGCGCGCGAAGTGCGAGCAAAGTGCACCTCTAAAGCGCCTCATTGCGCCGCACACACACGCGCACACATTTTGCGGTATCAAACCCGCATACTCTCCTCTTCTATTTCTAAGGAGTGTAAATCAGCTCCTATTAAAATACTGAAAACAAAGCTTATAATTTTTCCAATGTGGGACAAGTTCAAAATTGGGTTTTGTAAGAGAAAAGATCATTTTTCAATCAAGTCTGTAGGTGCAATTTCTCATGTAATTGACCAATCAAACCCATTGGATTTAATCTCTTATGAGATTAAAATCCAACAATCCCCCACATTGATTGATCAATTACATAGTTCTCTTTCAATCCAAACTATTATGACACAATTATGCATACAAAATGTGTTTATCAAATTAAATCTTTTGTTAGTATAGATATCCCAGAACCTTGTCAAAGTTATTGGTGGTAAGACCTTAAACCAATTACTCTCAAGACAGACCAGAGACACCCATACACACAATAATGTCCAGTCTCTACAAGAGTTTCAAGTTTTGCTCAGCATTGTTATGGCCATGTGCTTCTTTCCTGGTTTCATTAACAATCCAAAGAACAAACCCAAACTTTCATGAGAAGCGGCACCACTTCTATATTCACATAGGTGAAACTCCACTATGTGTTCCGTTATTTGATACATTTCAGAACTTTATTAAGAGTTTAACTCAACCTCTCATCATAACGGACAATACTACTTATGTTGTGATGGGAAATTTCTCAATGTCAGTGCTAACAGTCACATTGTTGTAACTTGTTGTTACTCATTAAACCCAATACTGATAGTTTTTCAGTTCAGGCTGGGTTACCATTACAGGTGACTAAGTAAAGGGTTTTAATCTCATCTCTTTGGTTGTCATTCTTACCAATTCTCTGGCTAATCCCTTGGTAAGAGGATCAGCCAAGTTTTTACTTGACCTCACATAGGTTATAATGATGACTCCATCTTGAATCAGTTGCCTAACAAATTCATGTCTCAGACTTATATGTCTGGACTTACCATTGTAGGTACCACTGTAGGCTCTTGACAGAGTTGTCTCACTATCATAGTATATGGAAATTGGAGGCATAGGACTAGGCCAAAGTTTTATATCCAATAATAAACTCCTAATCCATTCAGCCTCTTTTCCAGCAGCCACTAAGGCAGGTTTGATCCTAGAGGCAGGTTTACTAGTACCCATGTGTTATTTGACATTATTGAATCCATTTCATCATTTATAGCTTTCTTCCAAAAGGCAGCATTTCTAGAGATCATGGCCTCACTGTAGGTTTTTTTATCATTTTCAATGTTTAGGACAATAGGTATCTTATTTAAAATCTTCCCTCTATCAGCCTCAACCAATAATACAATTGACTGAGTAGAGATAAAATCTGAACCTAAGTGTTTCTCTATTCTTTGTCTTTGACTTCTTCTAGGTCCTATTGTAGGTGTTACAATTGTGTCATTTCTTCTTCTACTCTCATTATTATCAACAGGTATTGAGATTTGAGTTTCTCTTTCAAGTTCTCTGTCATTTTCTATAGATTCAGAACACATTTTATTTTCAAAGAATTCAATATATCTAATTTCAATTATTATGTTGGACTCTAAGTCTAGAAGCCTATAGGCCTTGCTATGTTCTGCATATCCAACAAACATACTTCTCTTATCTCTGAGTCCTAACTTGGTTCTTTTAGGATCTAGAATTCTATAATATGCTAAACACCCCCACACTTTTAGATATGCTAAATTAGGCTTTCTTCCTGTCCATAATTCATATGGTTATTTGTTATTAACTCTAGAAACAATTTTATTATGTAAATGATAGGCTGTTAGGAGTGTTTCCCCCCATAGGTTTAAGGGTGCATTAACTTTTAACAACATGCAGTTTATCATTTCTGTAAGTGTTCTATTTTTCCTTTCGGTCAGGCCATTCTGTTGAGTGGTATAAGGAGCAGAATACTGATGTATTATTCCAAATTCTTCACAAAAAGAATTAAACTCATTTTTAAAGTATTCAACACCCCTATCACTTCTAAGGATTTTAATTTTCTTTTCTAATTGATTTTCAACTTCAATCTTATACAGTTTAAACATGTCAAAGGCTTCTCATCCTTAGTTCTCATAAAGTAGACATAGGTGTACCTAGAAAAGTCATCTATAAATGTTATGAAGTATCTCTTACCTCCTCTAGTTAATACACTATTGAGTTCACAAATGTCAGAATGAATTAGCTCTAAAAGTTGAGAAATTCTCTCAACACTAGGGAAAGGTTTCTTAGCCATTTTAGATTTTACACATATCTCACATTTTTAGTTGATTCATTACTATAAGCAATTATACCAAGTTTGTTCCTGTTCTTTATGGATTTAAAATTCAAGTGTTCTAATCTATCATGTCATAAATAGAAAGAATCAACAATATAAGCAGAAACTTTTCCTTCATTAATACTTAATTTGAACATACCATTACAACCATATCCCTTTCCAACAAACATCCCATTTTTGGATAGGATTAGTTTGTCGGATTCAAAGACAACTTTGAATTTCCTCTTACAGACAATATTTACTGAGACCAAGTTCTTCTAATGTTAGGAACATGGAGAACATTCAGGAGAGTCAGTGTTTTTCCGGAGGTGAAGTTCAACTCTACGCTACCTCTTCTAGCAACTTTGGCACATGTTTGGTTTCCCATCTATACCTCTTGGCCATCAGTCACTTCTTCATATGTCTTGAACAAAGACTTGTCCTTGCAAACATGGACTGTGGCACCTGAATCAAACCACCATCTAGAAGATGATTCTGCCATGTTGACTTCAGTAATCATGGCCACTAGATTGTTTTCTACCATGTTTGCAAACTTGGTTCCACCTTTCTGATGTCGGTAGACTCGGGCATAATGCCCCTTCTTTCCACAAACATAGTAGGATCCTTTCTTATTGTTGATCTTCTTGAAGTTCCGATCCTTCTTCTTTACTTGTAATGCAGGGTTAGTCTTCTTTGATCCGTTTTTCACAATTGACCTTAGAGTTCAGCATACCGGCCAGGGTCTTATCCCTACTGTCTCTAATCTGAGACTCTTCTTCAATACGAAGGTGTTGCTGAATTTGCTCCAAGGTAAGTTCTTTAGCGTTGTGCAGAACCTTCTTCCTGTAATCCTTCCAAGAGGGTGGAAGTTTAGCAATGATTGCTCCCACTTGGAAAGATTCAGGAAGAATGATGTCAAGGGATCGAATTTTGTTGACTATCACTTGTAGTTCATGAACTTGCTCCAGTACGAAGATACTTATTCGTACTTGTTTCTTGCACCTTGTATTTGAATTCCAAGGCCTTCCAGATTTCTTTTGGAGATGTAAGTTCCTTGTAGAAGTTGTAGAGCCGGTCTGATAAGGCATTCAGTATGTGTCCTCGGCACAGAAGTGAGTCATCTTCTCGTTTTGCTCTTTCTTTCTTTAGTTTTTCTGAGTCTTTGTTAGTGGGTTCAGGAAGTGATTGCAGATTCGGGTCCAGCAGATAGTATAGTTTTAGTGTGGTCAGAAAGAAGATCATCTTGTCTTGCCATCGGCTGAATTTTGCTCCATCGAACTGGTCTAGTCGAACAAGATCTTGGTTCATCATCTTGATCGAAGTCATGCTTGCTTCCGCCTCTATTGCA